GGAAGAACGGCTCGAGATGCTCCGAGGACCTATGAATGACGAAACAACCAGAGGGGCGAGCAACAGTGTGGCATAATGCACAAAATTGGCCGGGCGCCTAGAAAATTGAGCCACATGCTTAAAAAGGTAAATCACCGAATTCATATTCGAAATAATTTATTTGTGATATATAACTTATATTACATTGTCAAATTGATAATCCAAGTCGGACTTTACAATCCGAGAGGGAGGGGCGAACGAGTAAGCGGGTAGCACAACATATGCATAGATGGCACCGATTATATACTCCTGAGCCCATAGTAAACCACGGGACAAACCACTATGCTCCAATTTCTACTATTATCAAATATTTTGTTATTTAACCTCTTGACGATCACAATAGTTGCAACATGTTAAGGTAACTAATGAGATTCACTATCTATTATAGGCAGTTTGACAAGCTCACCGGGGCGTATCGAAAGGTTGAGGAAGGAAGGAGAAGAGAGACACGAGAGAGTGTAGCCGCCACCGCACTCCTAAGTGCTAGGGCAGAGAGACCGCTGATTATGTATTGCTTTCCTTCTTGGGCCTTGAATCCATTATGGCCCCACTGACTCTGGGGTTGTGCTTCCTCACCCTTGTAATCTTGGGCCTGATCACCCTTCGTTTCATGTTGTCACTTGGAGTAGATGCCGTGTCGGGTTTGTCTGGAGCAACAGGGGAAGTAGAGGTAGAATCGTAGAAGTGTCGCCAATAATGCCCTCTTCTTGAAATCCGTCTTGTCCCCTAGCTGGAGCTTCAAGGTGGCCTTGACGTAGCCGACGAGGTCCTCCCGTATCACCTTGTCTGCTGTGGAGTAAGACCAGCGGAAGAGAACTCGTCCAACTGGCTTGTGATTGGTCTTTTTGTTGCACCGATCAAGGGTTTGCAGTGGTGCCTAGGCTGGAGCTCTTGGGAAGCATCGATGAAGATCATCAATGTCTTTCTAGGTGGAGGCACCCATGGTTTCCCTAGTATAAGTGGCGAGGCCATGGCACACCATTTTGTTGGCAAATTTGCACCAATGATACACAACACTTTAGGGGTAGCTGAAATCAGGTTCATTAGTGGGGAGAGGACTCACTGGCTGGTCGATGGGAAGATGCGCTTTCTTGCGCTGCAATACATCAAACACAGGATGAACAAGCGAGTCACCGGTAGATAAAGCATGTAAGCCACTACCCCAACTCTAGCTATGACCATGAACGACCAAAAGAACTTGAATGCGAGCTTGTGGCATGCACACTTGGTGACCAATAATTGGATGTAAGGCTACAACTCCAGGTACACCTTGTTGGATAGGTCTCTCTTATCAATGTTTATCTGCATGGTCCTTCATCCTTTGTTGTGCTCTATGCAAGTGTTGCTTGACCGACTTATGAACACTTGTCTTTCTTCCATCCATGCCCTCACATCCATAGGTTGGCAAACATCCACCAAAGCTAGTCCTTGTCATCGAGGCTATCTGGCATGATTCCGGCAGATCCCTCGATAGGGTATCCCGACGAGGTGAGTAGATAAGAGGGGAAACAGGAGACCATGTCAAAGATTGAGAAGATATGTCTAGATTGGGGGGAGGGGGTATCCAACTTGCTTGCTCATGAAGATCTCGGGCATTTGAGGAAGCTCATCATCGGAATATACAAGCCAAGTTCTATAATGAAAAATACCCACTAGTATATGAAAGTGATACATAGGAGACTCTCTATATAAAAAACATAGTGCTACTTTGAAGCACAAGTGTGGGAAAGGATAGTAACAATGCCCCTTCTCTCTTTCCCCCCCTTTCCCCCCTCTTTTTTTTATGTTTTTTCTTTTTTCCTTTTCTTTTTTCTTCTTCTTCTTTTCTTCTTCTTCTTTTTTTCTTTTCTCTCTCTCACT